TTCAAACAAAAACCAATCCAATTATTTTTTCTAAGGAACGAACCTTGAATTGAATTGAAATAAAATAAATCGTACAAGCCCACGATATGTCAAAAGAACAACAGAACATCTTCATGTATTGAGGATTGTAAGAATTTGAATATCAGACCAAAGAATGTTAATATTATATAGAGAGCCGGTTCATCTAATAAATCTAGTTTTTTTTATGACAGATTTTAGTAGATTAATCATTCTACAATTGTCCATGATACATCATAATTTTGGGTACACATAAATCATCATTATCATTTCACAATCCCATAAAAATTATGGATAGTAATTAAACTCATACTCGTGGTTATCTGACTAGCTTTCAACCCAGTTAACATGGGAAATTCCAATAATAGGGTATGGGGCTTGTATGTGTAAAATTCACATATATTTTTCATATATAAAGAACTACTCTTGGTAGGGCGGATTATATGATTATGAATATGTGAAGACTAATTTTACACATACAATAATAGAAGGGGTTATTTAAAAAAATATAAAGAGTTGAAATGTAATTGAGTGGTCATCCAAAACAAACCCAAATTTACCTATCTCAGTTTGTTCTTCACTCTTTCAAACCAAGAGGCTATGTACTTCAATTCTCACCCTCTTCCGTACGTAAAAATCTCATATTTGTTTCCTCTGCTTTGTCATATGAATTAATGAATGTTTTAAGATTCTACCGCTTTGAAATTCATATTAAAATGTATAATAGTTGTATTTTTATTGGTTTCAAGATTTATTAATTTCTTTGAGTGTTATAATCAAATATCTACATGTTAATTCTAGGTATAGTAATATTAGATATATAGGGAGAGTATTAACCCACAAGTACCCGCAACCACATTATATACGAGGACGGTGTTGCAAAACCTCCAGCCACGTGAGTATGGAGTGGATAAATATTCGAACATTCAATAACGAAAATGATTTAGAAAAACTCGCCACATTGCCATCCATAAACTTTCAATTCTTAAAATTACAAACCCATTAATTATCAATCATTTTTTTATCAAATGACAAACGTATTTTATACGCAGTCAAAATTCATTGGGAATTTTTGGATAATTGTCTTGACTCTTGATACATACGTGACAATATTATTGGGTCGTCCTAGCTAGCAGCAGCAGCTGCATCTCTCGTCCAACATAATCCTTACGGCACGTTCATATATTACCTATATTCAGTCTTATCAACAGCAAGATTCCTGATACAGATTGTGATGAGAACAATGAAAATTCTCTAATTAATATGGTTGCTTGGTTTCCCAAGAGCAAATTGATGCGGGGAAAAGCTGTTGCTCGATTGATGAAAGAAAAGAATAACAGATTCCATCTTTTGATTTCTCCTTATGACTACTCGCTCATTAGATGCCCATAGCATAGTATCCCTTTTCCCCCCTTCTAATTCTGGGCTTCTTGCCTCATATTTTCTTGTGTTTCCATGTTTGTAGTGAATTAAGAGTCGCTGGATTATGCATTCCACAATTTATAATATCATAGGATGTATATATGACTATTATTTACAAAATTCTCATACATACATTTAATCGTGAATTCGGTTAATCAATAGTCGTGAAAGAAATTGTATATATATAGAATCCTTTGGATGTGATTGGTCTTGTTACGGGACAATCCAAGTACCACATCGGTTATACAAGGGAAGGAACCCTTGTATATTAGTGCCCACCTTGTCTAATTAGTACGAGACCTTTTGGGGAGGACACCCAAAAGTAAATTCGTGCGGGCTTGACCCAAAGCGGACAATATCATTCTAATTGAGCAGTCCGATTTCGACAGGTCTTTACTGTAAAATATAAACATTCTCCTTTGATCATTTCAAGATGCCCAGCAGAATTTTGGTAAGAAGAGATGACCTGCAGATACTTTTGAGAGAGAGTGAGTTTGATAAATACGGAAGTTTTGCTTTATATCCAGAGCATCTCTATCTTCATTTCCCCCACCAAATACATGCAATTGGCCAATGACACCTCTCCCTCTTCCTTTGCTAACATGATTCCAGAAAGAAATCATGCATTTATATTATATCTATCCGTGGAAATAATAATTGACCCATATGTGGGTTCCTATATTCTCTGAATTAAAGGACCTTATGTAAAATAAAATAAAAATTATACATAGGATTGTCAATTGTGTATATTTGATAATGAGTGTTGCTTCAAATATGATGATCGGTGATTAAGATATACAATTTGGTTGACACTTCTTAGATTAGAGGTGATACTTTTCTTGATAGAAATAATGAAATTCGAACCATAAATTTCTCTCCCCGTAGACATCGTTTATTTGGATCATACAATTAATCGCTCTTGTTCGTGAGATGGATTCACGCAGCCTCGTAAGGGCAAGTGGGTTTTGTTTGTGCTAATTGAGGCCATGATTAAGTAAATTGAACAGCTGAAACTTGGGATTTGACAGCACTTAAACTCAGAAGTTGAAACTTAATAAACTAGTAATTAATTAAGTTAACTATAAGCCAACACCTAGATATCTAAGTTCCCTCTAGCTTGGAAAATTCTTTGACTGCACTCTTGATTGGAAATTGGAGGCATCTTAGAATGAATTAATTATATTTTTATTTTTTGGTTGCACGTCCCCTTTTCTATGATGTGCTCTTTCTGTTCAGTCCAAATTTGGGCAATGGAGCAAAGATCTCGACTCATAAAAGAAACCAATCGATACCCCTCTTGAAAACTACAATTCAAGCACACTACACAAAAGTTGTTTATGTGAAATTAACAATTCTCTCAAGTGCGGCATACAGAAATTAATATCTGATGATCCATTCAATTTCTAGGCTAGGCTGCCAGGTGTTGTATGAATGTCAGGATAATATAATATATCTATGATTTCAGAGGTGGTTCCTATTTTGGTTTAGAGGCAAAGAAAGAAAAAACATAGCTTTTTTAAAAAAAATTAAACGGTAAAATTTAACAGTTTTACCTATACTAATTTACTAACTAAGCATATATGCCGTCCACATTAACTATATATATGTGAGGATGACACATATCATGTAGGTTTTTTTTTTTTTTGTTTAAACAACCATGTCTTCTAAAAGACAGTTTATTAAGGTCAAATGAGATTACAGTCATCTAAGATAATATAAGTCACAACTTTTATTTAAAAATTATCAAAGAAAAAATTTAAACAATATGTTGAAGTCCAACTAATACACACGAAAAACATGGTCCAAAAAGTATATTTTTTCCCCAGAAAATTGATGATTCTTTCTAATGTTCGTGCAGGTTTATTGACGTTCAAGATTGTACAATTGGTGAGCTCCCAAATTCAATTGTATCTCTCAAATCTCAATCTATGTAAATTATACAGTCATTGTTGCTGTATTGGATAGACCAATCATAATTGTTGAATCGTTTGTAATTATGCTTTTCACAAAAAGGTGCCAACTTCTTATTTTTATTGCCGAATGTTGTCAATGATGCTTCAGTTTTGAATGACTATTACTATTAGTTGGAAGAACTTGCTTTTGTACTGGGGACTGGGGAGAGCAGCAGTATACAAAAGAGTAGGCTGTAGGAATATATTGAACACATAATAATAATAATAATAATAATAAAAGCTTAATTAGAATCTTTTAACTGCAAGATAAGCAAAAGTTTTGGGGGAAATTAAAGGCTTTGTCTCCCTTTCTTGACATCAGTTGTGCATTTGTTAGCTAGTTTTGCTGTATTATTCGTTCTGTCCTCATAAATTTAGTAAATCAGAGAAAATGAGTCAAAGAGATTTGTATTTGTATTTTTTTCTCCTGTCAATTTTATTAACTGGAAAACATATTGGGTAGCACATTGTATTTGTGTTCTATGCATTGCGAGATTCCAACGGAGAGAGACCTTGTTATGATAGTTATTCTTTGTAAGAAAATCAAAATCGTATATTCACATCGCATTCATAATTAGGAGGAAGTTGTCAGAGTTTGAGTAGGAAAGGAGGAAAAATAATAGTAACATTGATACAATACTTGTTAAGTTCGTTATTGTGTTAACATATATATTCGTAACGTGACATGTTGCACATACCAGTCAAATCCTTTTGAATAGCGCAACATGTTTTCCACCACTAATGATATGCCACGTAGTATATACTCCATGTCATATCGGCACAATCGTGTGTGTCGTTATCCTCAACTGCTCATCAAACTACCTTCAACTAGTTAGCCATGTCGTGAACGACGACGACGATCAAGTACATGTCGCCCGCTTCCAACTTCCCTCAAATAGCTTCCAACTTCCCTAAACTAAAGTCCGTTATGACTCCAAATTCACTGAGTTCTAAGGTTAAAGTAATAGTGTAATCTAACCTAAATTACTGCTCCTCTGGAATAAGCTTGTGTCTAACAAATGTGAGCTGCAACTTAACTACCATGGGCTGATCCAACTTGTTTTGGTCCTTCTAATTTCAGTAGACTTTTACTCTATTAAATTTGGTAATGGAGACTCAAATATAGTTTAACAAATGTTAACCAAATTCAAAGAAGCACCTTCTAATCAAGGCCATGATCGACGAATCGCCGATGAAAGTGAAATGCATTAGGGGAAGGAAGTGTTTCGTCAAATCTATGCCCCACGAATGAAATCGAATATCCCAGTAATTAAACATTAACCTAATTAATTAATTAAGTGAAATAGATGTTTAATTATTGCAAGCAGATTATAGTATATAATTAAGCACTAGGGTTTTTGCTGCTGCCGCCCAATTCAAAGTCAAAATGTCTGCACTCACAATTAATAACCCATTTCCCTCTCTTAAAAAGAGGTCAGAGGTTATTGACTGACGCATTTATGCAAACACAGTGAGTGAACCCAACCCAGAAAAATGATGTCAATGATTACAAAACACCAAAAATAAAATTTAAGAAAAGAGATACGGAACATGCATTAACTGCTAAAAACTGAACTGCCTCAACTACCACCCCTCTTCCCTTCACTCCGTGCAATATTTTGTTTTATTTCTCCTGAAGAAAATGATAACACTTCTTCTCATAATTTATTATTATATATATATTATCATTCAATATTACAAAAGTAACCCTCTCTGAATTCCTTTCTTCCATCCATCCAACAGCACTTGCTTGCTTCTCTCCATTTAATTTCTCACTTTATATGATTAGCTTAACTTAATTAATCCTAGCTAATGACTATGAAGGAGTAAAAATACTGCAAATAAGAAGGTTTCTTCTTCTTCTTCTTCTTCTTAGAAAGCTAACTAATATCCATAATAGTGAAACTGAGCTTGTTCTCCATAGCATCCTCCTACTCTTCTGTTGTTCCCTCCATCTTCCTCTTCTTCTCCTCCATGGAACCCATCAAACTGCCACCCAAAAACAATATATATAGTGCTCAAGAACAGAGAATTATTTGCTTTTACCAAAAAAAAAGAGAACCACCTTTCTCTTAAAAAAAAGTATTATTGGCTCTTAATCATGCTAGAGTAGAATAATATTGGCGGTAATAATTAAATTTAATTACCCAGTGCTGATCATCTTCGTCCTCGTCTCTGGTGGTGGTGGAAGAAGATGCAGCAGGTTTTGGAATCTCACAGTAGCTCTCGTCGTTACGCGCGAATCTGCCGCGTATTCTCGGCCGGTTGTCCGCTAGCGTTTTGCGGCATGCATACTACCAAAATTTACAACCACCAACACACACAAAAAGATAATCAGTAGCCTGAAACCGTCAGCGACAGTAGTTAATTTATTTACTGGGGGTTTATTGAAGTAATAAATTATCATTTTTTTTTTTTTTTTTACCTTTATGGTCTTGGTGAAATTCCTCTGGCTTCGCTTAGCTCTGTACTTGGAGATCCTCTCTTTCCTTTCCTCCGCACTGTAACGCCCGACTTTGAATTGGGATTCTTCCGTAAACGAGCTCTCCGTCGCTAAAGGGCTCGATAGCGACCTCTGCGTCGCCTTTCCTCTTCTCATATTCTATTTGCAATTTTATTCCCAGAAGGAATATAAAAACAGGGGAGGACGAAAATGTAAAAAGAAGAAAGATTTGAGTTGGGTGAATTTTTGCTGCTTACTTGCAAATCTCCGGTGCTGCAAACCCTCCTCAATTGTCCGGCGAAAAAGTTGCTCTCCGGCGAGCTCAGTGGCTGCTGATAGCTCTGGGATTCCAACACCGTGTCGAATCGGGGCTGGAAGAAGAAACCCCCAGCTCCTCTGCTACCGCCGCCGCCGCCATCGTCGTCGAAGGAATTGCCGCTGTAGCTCCTCTGCATCACTTTCTCGACGTCGTCATTGACGGCGCCGCCGTAATTCCGAGGCATCGTGACGAAACCCTCCAAACCCACATGGCATTCCTCTGTTTTCACCTCCAACTCCAGCCCGGAGTAGAAATCGCCGCCGTAACCGTTCCCCGGCGCCAGGTGGTGCCCGTTGTAGCCGATCGTCAGGCCCTCCAGCTGGCGGCTCGGCGGCGACGAAGAGCAGAGCAGGGCTGCCGCGGCCACGGCCTCGGCCTCCGTCGGACCGAAAGCGGTACCGTTAGAATCGGCGGTGGTGAAGGGATCATGAGCCGGGTCGTTGAGTTCCGGGAAGACGTCGAAGGTGGAACAGAGCTGGTCGGAGAAGAAGAGGTCGGCGGCGCCGTCGGAGGAAACCATTTCCGGGCTGTGGGAAGAATGGTGGAAGAAGGCAGAGTCATCGAGGACAAAGAGATCAGAAGACATTTCTCTCTCTCTAGAATTGAGTTTCCCGTTTCTTGAATCTCCTCCTCGTTCTTGTACTTGAAATTGTGGTGGCTCTGCCGCTGACGGTGGAGTTTATATGGGCGGTGGTGAGTTGGGGGAAGTAAGAAACGGCCAAGAGAAAAACAGAGATGACACTTGGGATGCTGATTTGTTTAGTCAAAAGAGCTTTGGCATTGCCATGGCAGCAACGCGACAAATTACATGCAAAAATCGGACATTTAATTTTTGCCTTCTTTCTTTTTTTGCTTCTGTTTTTTGGTCCCTCCCTCCCTCTCTCTCTCTCTCTAGAGATCGACGGAGAAGGTTAGAAACGAACCAGAAGAGGAGCTGTGTATGAGAGTGATCAGTCCATTTTTTTGCAGTCGTTGGCTTTATAAAGGGTGCTTTGCTTTGCAATTTGCATAATAAGGATACGATTAAAATATTGGGGGTGGAAGAATAATAAGGCTGGCTTTGAGAATATGTTCCCTTTTTAGGAAGACCGAACAAAAGCCTGAGTTGGGCCTAGTATGGTCCAGAAACGTTTGGGCCCAGAAGACAATAGCTCGGGCAATGCAATCGGCGGCACATTAGGGTCTGACTCTGGCTTGCCCTAGCGGATTAGCGGAATTCTGCTTTGGTTCCCAAGCTCTCTCTCGCCGACGGCAGCTATGGCGAGCAAGCGGCGGGCGATCAGCGTATTGGGAGACGGCGATCTCCTCGTGGAGATCCTAATTCGCCTTCCAAACCCTAGATCAGCCACCCGATGCAAATCCGTCTGCAAGGGATGGTACTCACTCATCTCCGCCCCCTACTTCTCCCGCCGTTTCGTTTCTCACCACCGCCGGATCCGGTCCGCCGTCGTCGACAAACCGCCTCTTCTGATTCCCTCCTACGTTCGAGGACCCATCTGGAGCTTTCTCCGCTTGCCCAATCAACAAAGCCGGTTCGGTGCCGTGATTGTGGATTGCTTTAGGGACTTGCTTATGCTCAAATTAGGTTATGATGAGGAATTGGGCAGGAGTTACATGGTCTGCAATCTGTTTACACAGAACACAGCAATGGGTCGTCCTTCCTTTAGCCCCTTGGTGGTTCGGGGGCGGTCTCGTAAGGTTAGTTTGCGAGGCCTCCAATTCCAAATGTGACAAAGGAGAGGCATTTACTGATCACTGCGTGCGTCAATTCTGCGTGGTGATAATGCACGAAACTCGGACGTCACGTTCAGAATTGGTCGTGTTCTATTCGAAATCTAGGGAGTGGAAGTGTATGGCTCTTGACATTCGATTACCCAGGTTTGACAGTTATCAAACCAGTGCAGTCTCACTGAATGGGAAGCTGTACTGGGCGGATCACTACAGAGGAGTGCTTGTTAGGTGGGATCCTTTCTACCTACGCGATCACCAGGATGACTGCAGAGGAGTAGTGGCGAGGTTCGATCCAGTCCACCAACGCGATGATGATGATCATCCTGTACCATTACCGCCAGCTTCACTGAATACCGAGTCCGTATCTACGGTCTCGGTCTCACAAGGCGCCTTGCATATGGTTGTCTGGGAAACAGGGGACGATGTTTTGAGCGTGTTGAGGCTGGAGGAAGAGAAAGGCAGTTGGGAAAGACTTTACAGAGTGTTCTTGGGGAAGTTGATTTCTATTAGTGGTGGTGAATTTGATCATGGGATCGGTTCCATAGGCGGGGTACTTGGCCTGCATTCAGAGAAGTCCGAAATGGTACTTTTTAGATGTCATTCCTTTAGGAAGTTTGTTGTTTGCAATATGAGAAGTGAAGAGATAGAGGTGGTCACTGAACAGACACCAGTTTACAGCATTTTCCAGCCAAAGGTTGCTCTCTGGCCTACGCCGATTCCAGACTATGAGAAATTGCTTGGAGCCTACAATGGAACCTATGGTCACTGGTTCCAGCCGAGCAGGCGATAGATAGAAGAACTCATAAAAATGGGTTTTTATTTTCTTTTTCGGTTTCTTCTATCTTATCCAGAGTTTATTTTTTTCCTCCTAATTATGTAAGTAAAGTTTATGCTAGCCCAGATAATAAGCAAACCAGATAATTACTATTACTATGATCATTAGCAAGCATAGTATGTGATGTAATGAGAAGAGCAAATAGCGAAAGGAATCCGTGCAAGTGCTGTTGCTCTAGCTTTAGCTTCGACTTATAAAGGCCAGTATTTCCCTCTCTTCATTTTTCACATGCTCCATCGGAAACTAGCCCATTTTCGACATCGTGGACAAATATCGAATGAAGTTTCCATGTCCACCATGTTGGAAATGAGTTTAAAGTTGTAAAAATTGATGATGTGAGATTTGATTATAATACCAACTTATTTGTATCTCTATAAGATGGAAGAGGAAAATTATGCAATGGAAGAAGAAAGAAAGGAGGAGGAAGAAGAAGAGGAATAGAATTGGGTGAGAAAAGAAAAACATGGGAATGCGAAAATACATAAAGGTATGGATGTTCTAATTATAATTTTTACGTACGTGGAATTTGACCCAAATTACCACGCTCCAATTACTAACCAAACATAATTTTTTTTATTCATTACTACAATTTGTGAGATTTGGCGTGCCGTTGATCCATGACCGGGTCTCCAAAGCAACCTTTACGGAATTGATCGATCGGATCGACGCTCACCTGGCTGGGTGGTCAGCATCATCAATGTCAATGGCAGCGCGTATCACCCTCGCCCAGTCGATCCTCTCGGCATTGCCAGCCTATACATTGCAGACGACTTTCTTACCGGCTAGTGTAAGAGATTACATTGATAAGAAGATCTGCGCATTTATCTGGGGGAGCTCGGAACAGGGACGAAAAATCCACTTGGTGGACTGGGAGACGATCTGTAGACCGTAGGAGGAGGGCGACCTTGGACTCAGGGGTGCTACGCGTACTAACAAGGCATACCTGCTCAAGATATTCTGGCGACTTCTCACGAAGCCGGATGACCTTTGGGCACGTGTCATCCTAGCAAAATATTGCCGCCAGATCGAGGAGAGGTTACAACTCAAGACCAGTGGAAGATTATCCAACCTGTGGAGGGGTGTGCACTTTCCTCTGGCTTCTCAACCATGATCGCCTGCTAACGAATGCGGAGAGAGGACGGAGGCATTTGACCGTCTATACAAGTTGCAAGACTTGCGGCGGGGGCTCGGAGACTACTATCCATGTTATTCGGGATTGCCCATTTGCGAGAGCTGCTTGGGCGGGACTCCTTGAAGACGAGCCAGACACTAACTTCTTCGAGCCAGACATCCACCGGTGGTCTCTGCACTACTTATCAGGACGCAGTAATATCATTGACAACACTCTTTTTGCAGGCACATGCTGGCTTCTGTGGAAGAACCGGAACGACTTCCTATTCCGGAGCAAGCTGAAAACCCATGAGCAAATCCAGCTCATCACCAAACAGCTAAGGCAACAGATCCACACAGCCTTTGAACAGGAGAGTACTATATTTGGAGTTGGGGGACTGCGAGAGTGGCGGGACATCAACTGCCATCCACCGCCGAGGGGCTGGGCCTATATCAACACAGATGGCTCAGTCACTCACTCTCCTGCGAGCACGACCTGAGGCGGCATCGTGAGGGGAGACGATGGACGCTTTGTCAGTGCTTTCACAACGAACTTGGGAGGGGGTTCGATTACTCGTGCAGAGCTGGATGGGATTGCGTACGCGTTGAGGTTGGCTTGGGAAGAGGGGGTCAAGAAGGTTACCCTGCAGACAGACTCATGCACTGCAAAGACCCTGATCGAGAATGCTACTCTCTAGCATCCACACTACACTTATGTTGCATAAATCCGTCGTTGGCTAGCTCGGCCGTGGCTTGTCAAGATAGAGCACGTTTACAGGGAAGCGAACTTTATGGTTGATCACCTCACTTTCATTGGTCACTCTTTACCCATAGAGGTTCACGGGATACAAATCCAGCGTGGTACTTTAAGTTACGGGCTGTATTTTGACATTGCGGGGACTCAAACACCCCACCTTTTTAGTTTGCAATAAAGGTTAGAACGCCCTTAGCACCACTTGACACAAGAAAACAATTTGTGAGATTTATACCTAAATCCCCACCAAATTAATCTAACGGTGGAAAAGTCGTCGTCACTCCTTCAAGACCTTCCCTCATTGGTCAATTCCGTTACATTGCCTTGTTCTTTAAAGGGGTTCAAATCAAGACGGCTCCTTCCTCGGAGGATTCAGCCGTATCAAATTCATTTGCCCTTCATCTTCAGAGTCATCAATTCTTCAAAATCTGCACTATATATAAAATTGGGTCTTGATCATTTCTGCCTTCTGTAATCTGCAGCTTTTCTTGACCTTTGTGAGCTGCAGAAATGGCTTCCCAGGCGCACTTGGACAAGATGCAGCTCCGCCAGAACTACCGCAATCTCTGGCACAGCGATCTTGTCCACACCATTCAGGCTGACACTCCATGTGAGCTTCTTCTGATATTCGTCCTTTTCCTTTGTTCTTTTGTGGAAAATTTGCCCCCGGTTTGATATTGTTTTCTTTGTTCCCGGCGATTGGGGTCGTTCTGTTTTCCCGACGTTCAGATTGCTGCCTTGCTCTCTGGTGGTAAGTCCCTCTTCCGATCTATAGCTTCTTCGAGTTCCAGATCTAGCTTCTTGGAAATTGTGACGCTTTCTGTGACCTTGCAAATCGAACTTTCTTTTGCCTGGGAATGTCGAGGGTTTCCTCGTTTGCGGTAGTCTTATGGGTTTTGACATGGGTTGACTTCGTCCTACAATGTATGAATCTGTTCAATTTCTGGTGTTTGGCTCTGAAAGTTGAGAATGCTCTGTTTGTTAACTCTGTCAGCCAGACATTTATGGTACTGTCTGGTGAATTGGTTCTAGTTGTCAGCCTTATGCTGGCTTTAGGGTTGTCCCCACGGTTTAAAGCTGTACAAGCTAGGCAGATGCTGCACAAATCAATAATGGTTTCTGTGAAGTAATAATTCAGAGCTGGCCATGCCAAATTTCTAGTTGTTGCCATACCATTGTATTTTAGATTGTTAAGTGAACGAAGTTTTGCAATGGGGTCAGTACAGTGGACTGTGCTTATGTTCAACAATTTGCTTCTGCGATGGTATTTATTTGTTTTACAGTTGTGTAATAGCACTTCCTTGGTTGTTGTAGAGTAGTAGATTCCATTTCCATAGGCTATGATGAGCGAAGTCAAAAAGATGTTCTTACTTTTGTACACACTGGGAATTCATATGTATTTTGTTCTCTCTAAGTTGTGTTTTCTCTTTTGTAAATGTCATTGATTGTGTGGCTGTGTTGCTCCACGAAGTTCACATGCAGTTGTAGTGATGTTTTGGAGTTTCTCTAAGCTTCAGCCTTCAGTTGTTGCTAACCATAAAATTATTTGTCTCATGTAGTGGGCCGTGTGTATCGTACTTGCTCCGCAAACGGGCACTTTACAATGACATGTCAAGGTATGTTTGCTGTGCTGGCTACATGCCTTGCAGTGGAAGGTGCGGCGAGAGTAAGTGCCCGGAGTTCTGCCTTTGCACTGAGGTACAGAGTCGCTTGTTCTTATGTATTCTTCAGAAATAGATGCATATAAATGGGTATGAGATTAAGGAGACTGTAAATCGCGGTGTGTGAAACATGGATCTTCGCTGTTCTTAACTGAGACTCAGGTTAATTGGGATTTTTCAATTTGGGAACAAGGATTTTATCTCATGATGTAGAACTTGCTGCCTTATATGTTAAAGAGTTTAGCCTTTTAATGTAATGATTATCGATTAACAAATGCTTCTTCGAAAGGCTAAAATTTTGTTGCCTATGAACCCATCCGCCTCATGATGTCCTGGTAGATCTTGGTTTTAGTTCATTATGATTGTGGTCAGATCTTGATTTTATGTTCTCGGCGTTTGCAGGTCTTCCTGTGCTTTGGAAACTCTGTAGCCTCTACCCGGTTCCTGTTGCAAGATGAATTCAACATTCAGACAACACAGTGCGACAACTGCATTATTGTACTCTCTCTTCTCCTCTCCCTTCTTCTCATTCGTCAGCACTTGCAGTTTGTAAATTAGGTTATTCATGTCAGCTCTTTCCTCTTACCAGGGCTTCATGTTCTGCCTCCAACAAATTGCTTGCATATTCTCCATAGTTGCAATGATTGTAGGAAGTGAAGAGATCTCAGAAGCTTCCCAGTTGCTATCTTGCTTGTCTGATATGGTCTACTGCACGTAAGCATCACCAATTGTTTCCCCTCCCTCCCACATTCCTATCCCCATTACAACTCTGAATCATCTCATCAACTTACTAATCCATCCTCTTCCTCTTTGCTCCATACCCAGGGTCTGTGCTTGCATGCAGACGCAACACAAGATCGAAATGGACAAACGAGATGGCAAGTTTGGTCCGCAACCAATGTCAGTGCCTCCGATGCAACAGATGTCACGTTTGGACCAACAAGTCCCTCCCTCTGTTGGTTATCCACCTCAGCCAGGGTACGGCTACCCACCCCCTCAGGCTCAGGGATACCCTCCGGCTGGATACCCACCACCTCAGGCGCAGGGATACCCTCCAGCAGGCTACCCTCCACCAGCCTATCCTCCATCTGGCTACCCACCAAAGTGATCTATTGATACCCTCCTCCATGGTCGCCATTGTTGATATGCGAATAGTAGGACACGGCTATGTGGTTTGGTTATATATACATGCATATTTGCATTGAAGTTGCTCTGAAACTGGACTCTCTATTTGATCTATATCTTGGAAGAAACTTGAACTGTGAACTTTGGCTGTTCGTTTAGGTGGGTGGAAGAGATTGATTGATGGCATCGATTCTTGACATGTGGGTTTGAACATTTTTTATGTGTAGTAGTAACATTATGGACCGACAGAGTTAATTATCTGGTTGAATTTTTTTGTTTGCTCTTCTGTGTTTTGTTGTTCCCTTGGCTACTTACTCCTCCATGGTTGAAAATTTTGCCAAGGTGGATTTTTATATTTCCCTTTGGGCTCCATGAAATCTCTCACCCTGAGTGGCTGAGTCCAATCATATGAATCGAAGGTCATTGTAATGGGCCTCCATTACCTTGGGCCAGCCTCAATGTAGGAGCAGACAATCCGTTTCTGCAAAAATTGTATTCTTTTGCCAGCAAAAGGCCCAGCTCAAAAGCCGGCCGTTTCCGACGACCGCACTTCAAATTCAAGCAGGCATCTCCACCGCTATCCTCCGTTGTTTTCCAAATCAAATCAAACCTAATCCTTCCTCTTTGCTCGTCAGTCTCCTTCGCCAGCTAGTGCCTCTGCCTATTCTCCTTCTCCATGAGATAGCTATTATCGCAGTAAAAATCACACCCGAACAAATTTATATGTGGGTTGATTCTAACCGGACCAATGTTGTAGGTGGTATAAGGAAGTGATACTTCTTTCGAAAATTCGAGTTATTGAAATTAGTTGATTTATGATATGACATCAGATTTGGTTTGATAGTTAGTATGTATGCTCCAAACCTCATGACCCCAAGCCCATGATTTGACTTTCATTTAAATGGGCATGTAAAGAAGTGGTTGAAATCCATACATGAATCTCTCACGACAACTCGAGTTATTGTGACCAGTTAGTTTCTGGCGTACGGTGCAACATAAGTGTTGATTTGCATCTCGACTATTGTAAAGAAAAATGTAAACGAACAAATGCAGCTCAACCTTCAACACATACTCGTTCCTCGACTTTCAAATGCAGATAACATATGTCCACATTTTGTCATAAATTTGGAAAATAGATTAACCGATCATTAATGTTTTAGTCCCTTCTAAATTATCATAACTCAAACCACTTAATCTTAAGTCTTTTACCCTCCCTCGTCCAAATTTCCTATCCGCCACTGCTCAAAGTCGAATCTGAAATTCAATATAAATATATAATTTTAATTATATTGATTGATTGTACTTTGTGACAATGTTAAGCAGGATCAGCTTCGAGATAGAAATGGTAGGGTTATTTAGGAAATAGGTTGTACAGTCTTACAGTGTAAAGGTGAATATGCTCACAGGTCACAACTAAGGTTAAGAGTTTCTGAGTTTGCCCGTTAAATTGAAGTGTCGTCAAATTAACCATTTTGGTTCATGTAATTTGTTTCAGTTACCAAGCACACCCTTCAACTTTTCATATTTGATCAACTGTCTTTACCGAACGTATTACTATTGTTGTCAATTTTCATCATTCATCAAAGGAAATAAAATATCATTGTCAATACTCAATACTATAAGGAATTTTTATTTTGTTTCCGTACAAGTTCAAAATTAAAATCAAATATAACAACGACCTGTCACCTAATAAAGCCACATTTTACCAACCTTATGAACGTGTAACTTTATACTGCATGGCAGATTGATATATATCGTTATCATTAGAAAACTACAAGAAATGCTGTAATAGCAGTCAATATATTACTGATTAGAAAGATAAATAAAGGAAGAGAAGGACAGCCAAAATAATTAATATTTTTAACAAGAAAATCATGTATGCTAGTCCAGTAAACCTATGCGGCTCTTGAAAATTCTCCATCAACAGCTATTTATTGATAATTTATATATCGAGTTCCAATTATGCAATACAAGTAACCCATAGAAGCTTCTGCAATATAGGTTAGATCAAAACCGTGATTGTACATAAAAGTACTTTGGTGACTTAGAAGTGTAAAACCGTAAGTTTAAAATTTTAAAAGATAAATTTTGATTGCACTTGTAAGTGAAAAGTTTGATTTTACGTAGAAGCATTTTGGTGATCTAGAAGTATAAAATCGTAAATTTTTTAATTTTAAAATTCGATTTTGACTACATTAATTACGCCCAAACCTTAACTTTTATCACATCCAAAAATCGATATAAGAATTTTGTGTGGAAAACAAAAACAAAGCAAAGGTTTTGATTCATATAGTCCCAAAGAGATTATAACAAGTCATTCCTTTACATAAAAATTAAGGTTTGCAGACGTCCGGCGATCACGTAATCCCAAAGAGAATAGTCTAGCTAGCTATACAAATATATAATATATATGAGCTTATGGGATCATATTTTATCTTTATGTCATACTCCATATATTGGATTTAATTAGGAAAATATTGGAAGTGGACTATTAGTCCTTAATTTAATTATGCAGGCTCTAATGGAAATGGCAGAAATTTGGCCAAGGAACCGACTGACGAGTGCTCGTTTGAAAAGCTTGTATTTTGAATATTGTATTATGTAAAATTTCGAACTGAAATACATGTATAGAAAATGCATCGAGTATTTATTATACATAAAAATGGCATATTCATAATCTTAATTTTCTTGTGAGATTATTTATATACATGATTTTTTTGTTTTATTTTTTATTTTATTTTTCCTCATCGTGTGTCTGCCTTAATCCATTCATTCAAAACTCACTTTTAATTGAATAAGGTATAATATATATACTTATAAAATAAAATTTTAATTTTTCTGGCAACACATTCTTGCAAAGACATATTCTTAAGATGGATCGTTATAAATAAATACCATTGAGTTTCAGAAGAAGAAAAAAAAAGGGATGGATGGATGATTACAATAATCTGAGGATTACAAAAGCCCTCTTAATTCGTTGGAATTGTAAGAACTAGTCAACTAGAAGAATATGCGTGAATACCGCTTGTTTTGACACTTTGAGTCATAATTTTGTCTTTGGTGGTAAAGAAAAGATTTGGATGTTTCTAATGATGGCGAAATTGATTCCGTTCCAGCACATTGTCGTCATTATTATACATTAAGCAGTAAAAACAACTGTGGCCGCCTTCACTAATTCACATATTAAATAAGGAAATGCATATGAATTTGAAACACAAATAAGATATACAATGGAGTCATTCTGCTCTCTTCTAGAACACTGATGTTTGGATGTACAAATAAATTTTTTACCTAACAAGTAAAATTTATACTATAAATAAAATTTTGTTCACAAGTTGAGTTTGTACCATAATATAAATGTGCAAGTTGCCATTAAAAAATTTGTATAAAATAATAAGTACAAATTAAATTTTGTACCATAACATTAAATGTACATGTTCAATTTTTATCGTAATTTTTTTTAAACCAAAATACCAATACTATAAACCATTGTAAAGTTTCTCTAATGTATGCTTATACACGGGTGAGTTAGGTTAGGTATACTTTATGTAACCACTACTATAAAAACTAGTAAACTTAATAATGTTTTAAAAATGCAAACTGGAATACTTAGTTTGAAGTTTGGACAAAATTATGTGAGTTGAAGTCTTCGAATATTAATTTGTATGGTTCGAAGACTTGGAACTAAAAACATCAATTAGTAATCCTTAAACCGTGCAAAGCTTAAGCGCCGGCCTTCCACTTGGTGAGTTTTTGGCTTTTGGCGAAACTTGAGTCGACTGGCCATTTCAATTAGTTATTATGGAAATGTGTTATTATTAATTACTAATTAGTTGTCCATCGACCAAGAGTACGTGCAAGAGATGTAGCCATGTAGGCACTTCAGTAATTCACACCCCTCAGTCAACGTGGATTCATCACCCCATTTTTTTTTATATGTATAATTTTTTTCCTGTCGTTTATAGTTCGAGACAATAGTTTCATGATCAACGAGAACTAGCCAAAAGCAGCTCTTAGAAAGATGTATTATTTATTTCAAAATACTTTTCCGATTTTCTATCAATTCTAATTGATGTAAAATGAGACAATTTAAATTAGCTGGATCCGATTGCCACATTACCGTTTTGTATTGCCTAAAACTGTAATTTGATACAATTACTATATTTTTGAATCAATAAAGCTGAATTTCGCTTCCATCTCAGCCGTTAAATCACAATGAAAACTTTTCAAGCGGTTGAAAAATACTTAGAGAGGTCCTTTGATGAAAGAATTGAGTGGTTTAAATTCGACCAAGCGGAAGAATTAAGTTGATTTTCATTATAGTTTAAATTAAAGAAACTCCAAATATCCAGCGCATAATGGTTAAGGGAGGTAATTAAAACTTCCCAATCTCATTGATTTATTTTTTTTTTTGCCAAAGTTATCCCGAGAGGGAAGCAGCGAAGATACGACAATATACAAGGCCTCCTAAGACCAGACTAGGAAAATTAAATAAATAAAACACGATGGTCGACAAGTGTCTGCACCATCGCTCCAAGGGCTTGTCTTGCCACGAAATGGGCAGCCCTATTATACCTACGGGGAGCGAAATGGAACGTAGCACGAAGGAAAGAAGCCCGCAACACCTGAATCTCTTGCAGGAGAGCTCCACCCACCGCGTGCGCCGAGTCCTTCGCATTAATCAGCCGAACGATCACCTGCGCATCCCCACAAAACAAAACATTAGTGAAAGAGTGAGCCATGCACCAACGTAAAGAGTCGCGAAGGGCCAGGAGCTCTGCGAGAAATGGGTCATCAATATTAGGAATAAAGCGCCCCCAAGAGAAAATGGACTGATTCGCCTCAGCAAAGCCAACAAAACCAATGGCACATCCGACCAAAGATTTGGTGGCACCATCAAAGTGTACCAATACTGCACCGGGAGGTATGGAAGGAGGGGGTTGATCACGAGGTAAAACCCCACTAGAAGCAGAAGAATCGCGAGGCAAGGATCTCACCGGATGCGCCCGTGCTAGCTCCCATTCAGCAACCTGAGAGTAATAATGACGTGATAAAACATGGGAGAAATACTGAATACCATCATAAGTAGCCAAACATCTGGACTTCCAGAGCCTCCAGTACAGAAAAACCAACCGCGAAATCTCAACTTTGGATAGACCTGCATCAAAAAATATCCTACGCCAACCAATCGCAACATGGCACAAGCGAATTTGATTGAAATACAATAGTAGCACTTTTTTTTAATTATCTGCTCAAATTACAACATTTCAATGGTTCCATCGTTTTGAATTTCAACATTGCACCATTAAAAAAAAAATTCAACATCGAGGGCTAATATCCCTAATCAGTTGCTTCTTTCATTCAGTTTTTCTTTGTTTCCTTGAGACACATTTCTCGGAATAAAATTTGGAGGATTATTTTAGGTCATGAGAGCAAAACAAATGATGCGACGTATTCTTCCAAATCCAACTCATAGACAAATAATAATGACAATAATAACAGCAATAATAATCACGATAATATCAATTATTTTCATTGACAAGCTAAATGAGAGGTGTCAACTTTTTGACCGATAAAATGATAAATAGATAAAAACAAAACATAAGGAAGAATTAAGGAACACGATTGAAGTTCGGTGAATCTAGTTCTCTTTGATAATAAATAATTTCAACTACTAAATTGATTAATTAACTTTCAAGGAACGCAATATTGATAGTGATGTAAGGTCCTCTTCGGTCATATGTAATATTTATTTACAACACGCAATTAGCATATAATATTATGAGAATTTGGTCGTTGCATTTTGGACGTACGTTAATCGTGATTGACAATACAACACTAATAATGACAACGGTTAACCATGGGGAAAATAATAATTTTTAACTACGCTAATTAGCCCCTTAAAATCGATCATGAGAATCTTACTATGTGACCCTTTACTAGATTACTACAACACCAGGAAAATTATTTTTTCCGTCGGTTAACACTAACAATTTTAGGATTATAACTTATTCAAGGAAAACAATAAATAGTTTATTCTATTAAAAGCGATAGAGTGTAGAATTTTGTTGAAATTTAGTCATGTTAATGTCAACTCCATAATTTGGAACCTTGAAGTTATCAACAATATCGAAAAAGTTGAATGTGTGATCGCTTCTCCTTAGAAGAAAGGGGTGTCACACTCAAGACTTGTTGATATTGTAGGTTAGAGGCTTAGAGCCATTCCTAGAGATGAAGTTGTGCTGGTTGTTGGGTGTGTATTGACATGATACTTTTGCTTGTAAGGACACATAACTTCTTAAGAATTTGGATATCGTTGTTTTGTAATGATATTTCTTTGTTTGATGAATTGCTATTTATGAATATCCATGAAAAGGAAAATCGTTCACAAGAATTGGATTGGATCAAATGAAAAATAGGTAAAAGGATAGCGAGATACATATGGAAATATCACAACAAAGTGGTCTGAGGGTGGTTGGAAGGTGTGTTTTGTAATGATGTTGTGTTCCTTGTAACTTGTAAGGCTATGAGAGTTTGTTGTTGATTGATCCAGATATTGATTGCTAGAGATTGAGTGTTCGATTGGAATGATATAATGCCTTCACGATCTGTAAGGATTGAGAGTTTCGTCTAAAATGATATCAGATTGTATACCTTATTAACCATGTTGGGCAATTTGACCATTCTGTCATAGAGACTAAATCTACTAATTTGATCTCAATATACGACCATCATTATTTCATACATTTACCAAATTATCTCTTCCATGTTGAATCCCTATTCATAATTCTATTTCTTACCATCCCAATATTTCTCCCATTTTTCCAGAGAATAACCCCATTTTCACCAAAAATAAAGGGAAAAAAGTGAGAGTGGCCCCATTGAGAGAAACACCACTGCTACAAATCAAGATTGTAATTTTGGAGCCCATCTGACCAGTAAAACAAGTTGTTATTCTAATAATGAACAAATGGTGAATTACAACTCACTACTCATACAAAACCACAAAACTCATTTGAGTCCTCAAATTCGTCTCATTTCATTTTGTTCTTTTTTTTTCTTCTTCCATAGTCCTTTATGTAAATATGTACAAAAATCTCACCCACCAATTTTATCATCATCGCCACTTAACTCCTTCCTGCCGTCGATTGTTAAAAAGGAAAAAAAGAAAATGTAAGAAAGGGAAAAGAAAAAAAATCATATCCCACAATTTCCCCTTTTTGACTACTACTCTGGCTCGCCGGCGGCCGCCTTCTAGCCAGTGATTTGCGAGAACTCGCCGTAGAAATCGGGGATCCCGGACGCCGCCCAGAACTTCTCGTTGAAGCTCTCCTGCATATCCTCGGGAATCACCGGCGTCCGGCACATCGGACACGTCTTCCGGTCGTACCCCATCCAACGGTCGAGGCACCCCTTGTGGAACACGTGGCGGCAATTCGCCAGCCCCCGAATCTCGTCCTCCGCCTCGAAATCGTACAGGCACACCGCGCAGCTCTCCGGCGGGTCCACCAGGTCGCCGAATCTCACCACCGGCAGGATCTCGCGGATCAGCACCGCCGACACCGAGCGCTGGAACTCCGGGAAGCCGCCGCCGCCGGCCGACGGCGACGACGCGAACGAGTTGGAGAAGGAGTCGAAGTCGGAAGAAGCAGAGGAAGAAGGCGGCGGCGACCAGGAGACGTTGGGCTCGAGGAAATCGGGGAGGCCGATGAATCGGAAGAGCGCGTTGATTAGACGACGGAGGATGGAGAGGAGGGAGAGCGCGTGGATTAGAAACTTGGGGAGGAGGAGCTCCGTGTATCCGACGGGAAACCCCATTTTCTGTAGCTCCGAATTGTACCCTTCTTCCTCTGTTAATGGCTGGAAGGAATTGAAGTAATTACTTTGCAATCGAGGTAAGACTGGGAGAAGATTGAACGAAAGAGGGGGAACTTTTTTCGTCTTTCCGTCTTTGGGGATTCTTTGAAGCAGGGAATTTAGAGAAAGGGAGAGAAATCAGGTGGAAGAAAGACGAATGGCTGAGGGAGGATGGAGGAAAGGGATTGGGTTATATAGAAGGAACGTGACGGAGAGATGACGGTAACTGGTCGGGGGAGAGCAAAGAGAGGAAAATTATGAGAAGGGATTTTTAAGTACAATTTAGTACCTGTAGTTTTAATTTTCTCGCTTTTCAGCCCTTCAGATGGGAAAAAGAAATTGGATGAATTGAGGGTGAATTAGGATCTACAAATTCAGCGTAAAAACTTGGTTATTCGCGAAAGAAATCCATGAATGTGAAAAGTTCTGGAAATGTCAATAATGGCCAAATGAAATTGATATTTCAGTTTTGGGAAGAAGATCAATTAACGTGGTGGTGGTGGATATAATGTATTATGGGGGCGTAACTGAAGTTGAAAATAAATACCGAGTCATTTATTGATAATGCACGACTCTACGGAACGGAATGGTGAGTGAGGACGGAACTTTGCGGGACTGAAATGTCTTGAAATATATTACTTTGCGGACTAAATAGCTAGGTAGTCAATGTTGACGGAGGGAAGGAGGGAGTAAAGACTACATGGACGGCCTTTGTGACGGTAAAAAGATTAAAAAAGGTCGTTCTTCCTTTTTCTCATTTCTTTTATACAAGGAAAGTGAGTAAGTCACATGAGAAGAGACACACAAACCGTAACCGATTTGAATGAAACGGTTAATGATTTTGGTAGGTATTTGGAGGATGTTGGATTATCAAAATAATCTGTTAGTAACCGATGCATATTCGGTTCATAGATAATTGATAAATTAATCAAAATATATTATATTATATTATAGTAAAAGTGTGAAATTATGGTGGATATTGGGTTGGTCTAGTAATACTACTCATGGTCTTGGATTTGTATATTCCATAGTAAAATCTTTTAAGTAGCCTCTAACTATAAAATCAAATTTATGACAACCTAATGAAGGAAGAGCAAAATTATGTTAAAAAAAACACAAGGATCGACACCATACTCGAGAAGCATCTCACATAGGTTCGGTGGCTGCTGGCTGTTGCAGTCTGCTTCAGGATAGTCCATTCCATTTAAGGATCGTTTTGTAATTTTCACTGCTTTTCTCTACTCCCTCCCACAACATGGTATTAGAGTTAGCCTAACTCTACTAACATAACAACAGTCAAAGAAATAATTCTTACAAAATGATCCTTCTACTATTCGATGGATTCCACTATACTCCAACAGAGGAGGATATACATCTCATTTGTGGTTGTTGAAAAACTGGTATTTGGTTAAACTTTTCACTTAAACGCTTTGTTACGCTATTGACAAGAAAATGTCCCTCAAACACAAACGTCGGATATATAATTGAGTTTTATAATTAATTTGTATATCATGAATAAAGCACAATCTATCATGGTGAGGATTGCAATTGCAAAGCCAAAATTAGCATTTGTACGCTTGCAATCTTTGATGAACCAATTTAGGACCCACTGACCATCATCATCATAAAGAACAATTAGCAGTGATTGGTGGTGGACAATCCTAGCTCCCTTTCAAATTATTGAAACTTACTCTACAAGTGAATGGAAGTGACAAATATATATTCCACCAGTCACCAACTAATCCATTTCATTCTATACAACAAGTCGAGTACAATAGTCATAGGTATATGTTTCATGTGTGTTGATATTGTTGAATCGAACATCGACATCTTAGTCATTAGATTCAAAAAAGATTGTGTTTTTCTGATCAATACCTCCTCATACATTTAGCTACTGAGACCGTGAAATGCATGATTCAACGACATCAATATGGCAAAATTCCTTATAAAATAGCTACAGGCTTACAACTCACTTTTTCTAAAGTGATATTTAAACACAAAACAGATATAGTCCAAGTTCATGCTCTTTACAATAAGAATCCAAATGAAATCAAATCAAAAGGAGACACAAAATTAAATTGGGTCAATCAAAGAGAGGATCCTCAATGATCAAGCAATGGGGGCAAAGGGTAGAGAGGGAAAGAGGTTATGATATGAGTGTTGAAGTGTAGCTAGCAAAGCAAAGAGACATGAAGTGGGTAATTGTTCTAACCAATCTCCTCTTTGGTGTCAACACCACAAGCACCCATCCTATAGACCAAAACAAGAAGCAAAATAAGACCAAAGTGGGGAAAGATAACACACACCCATTTCACCATATAGCTACACATCATGAATGGTCATATGACCAAATTGTGTGGGGGAGAGGGAGATGAACTTTGGTATCCCTAACACATCATCTTGTCATTGTCCCCCCATCTTGAATTGGAGAGGGTTGCCACTACCACCACCAAATTGGCCATGCCATTTTGTTTGTGTGGACTGATTTCAAGACAAAAAGCTACATCCTCTCTTTCCCTCCCTTTTCTTTAGCTCCTTTGTTTTCTTTTGGTCTTCTCTTTAGGTTAAGTTCCTTTCAAGATGTTAACCCTATAACTACTCCCATGCTCCCTTTGTCTGTGGACTTCAGACGTCAACATTGTGGCTTTCACCCCAACTCTCTTTTCCCTTTGTATTCTGGTGGTGGTTGCATCTGACGATTATCATCTTTAGTAATCAAAGTTGACAATAATTAAGGTTAAGTACCTATTCTAATCTCAAACGTAAGTGCATTGAGAAGATTGCATTGTGCCAATTAAGCAATTTGATGGATACAAGAAGGGAACAAAATGGTATCGTTGTTGTCTTGTATATACTTGAAGGTTAACTGTTACTTATGAGATTCAAGAAGCTGACTTGTAGATAACTGGAATCAAGCTAGGGTTGAATTGTTCCTCCCTTGTGCCCGGGGAGATGGGAAACAGCGTACGCAAGTTGGAATCCACCGTAATCAATCATTAAAAAGCAAAGGATTCACCTTGTTCATCCCGACATATATATGCATGGTGTTTAGTATTTACCCAAACTCTAAACTAAAGGACAAAATATGCACTAGGAGAATTCTACAGCATTCATAACCTGGACCAATTTCTTCTTGTCGTGACTTGTCGATAGGGGTGGGGCAATGGGTTGGTCCATACCGGAGCACACCGAATTGAAAAGTAATATGGTCAGATCTTTGACCTCATGAACTTTATAAATACCGAAGAAAAATGGATCAAATGTGGACCAATGCGCACCAAAACGAACCGAATGCACTATTGGTACGGTCCTTGGTCCTAAAATATCTTTTACTATTGGATTACGGTTCTCCTGAGTTTGGCTCGCTCCGGCCTGGACTGGACCGATGCCCACCCCGGACCGGATTGATGCCCACCCCTACTTATCGAAATGGCCACGGCAAAAAAAAAAAAAAACATAGTGATCTCCTATATTCCTACCATAGCTTGTAAGAAAGTGGTTAATTATCATATATGGACCTCTCACAACAACTAAAGTTATTGTGACTAGTGATCATGTGTTCGAATATCTATAGCCCCAATATTAACACTTAATTTAATCACAAGGTATAGAGGACATGTTTAGTGATGAAAATTTGGACCCTCCCCGCGGATATTACCCGTCTCGCAGTAGCGTGGGGCGGGACATGGGAATCTACTTTCGACCCGCCCTGCCCTACCCCGTCCCGTTCTTGGCCCATTCTATCTCAAATTTTTTATCGTATCCATTCATGTTTCTCTTATTATGACACTTCTTCAACTAGTTCAACTAGTTAGAGTCGATCTTTCAACTTGTCAGTCTCAGGCTCTCAGCTACGCATTTTATTAAGTATTGTCCTCTTCGTTTCATCGTAAAAAGTAAACTTTACGTTTTTTTTTTGAAATAACATTTAACAACGGGTACGTATACTAGTCCCGCCCTGTACCCACGCGGGTTTTACCCGACCGGACCCACAGTAGCATGGAACAGGGCATGAAAATTGAGGTACCCGCCCCGTCCCATTGCCATCATCACTATACATGTGCAAACTACATTTACGGTTTACCCACCATGTAAGGGCAGTGAAATGTCGAGATCTAACCCTATTCGCCGGATAGAAAGATGGAGGGAGGGAGAGGGAGAGGCAGAGGGCCAACCATATGCATCTGAAAGCAGCAGTACACTGTGGCGATGTTTTGGGTCCTGCAAATGAAAAAAAAGTTAAGGGGTGGCCTGACAAGTTTGTGCCCTAATGTGGCCGCGACACTGTTGGTCCCTTCATTCATAACGTCCATGTTATATAGCAGTCAGTACAGAAAAAACCAAAAACGCCAACACCCTGCCTCTGCTTCTCTGCCTGCCACCTTCCACCTCCATCCAATTTCTTCCCATCCCATCCCTCCATCGATTTCTCTCTGTGGGAACGCCTTTGCAATTGCATGCCAACTTATAATTCACCTTACTTACTTACTTACTTTGTCTCTTCCTCTGTCCTGCCACCTCGCCTGGACCTGGACTTGTCAATTGTGGGCTACGCTAATTAATTACCGTTACTCGCCGGTAGTGATGATAAGGGTATACTATCACGAGCGCAAATGAGCTGAGTCGTCCGCAAGCGAGCAATTCGAAGTTTGGTTCGAGAAAAGTTCGTTCGAAACTTTACTAGTTTATTAACGAGGCGACCTTGAGCTAAGCCTTGTTATGCTCGCGAGCTAGTTCGACTCGGTCCCTTGTTGAACTCAACTCGTGACCATGACTCGTTTAGAGCTGAGATGTCTCAATACTGTGGCTACGTACAGAGCCAACTTGACTATCGATTTATGAGTAAATCGATCTATATATGATGAGTTGGATTTTGGTCATTCATAGGGTTGTTAAATTATATTTCTCACCCTATATGATGTTTAAGATATTGAGTATGTGTGAGCAAATATGAATTATTT